AAAGATGTCAATATCTGCTCTACTGATAAATTAGGTGGGTTGCTTGTAGCGACCTACTGGTTTTGTATCAATTTCCTTCCAAAGAGTTTTGTTGGTGTTTGTAAATAAAATATTTTTTTCCCACATCTGCTTAGTCTGAAACATGCAGATAGGAGTTTTTTAAAGCATTTGACCTGTTTGTTAAGTTTGTTTTTATGCGTAGGAGAGAGAACCTAATCTGAACTGCTGAAAGTAAATTAGGGACCCTCAGAGTGTGTGTGAGACTTGCTGCTAAAACTTGGTGGCATTTGGAAATGTTCTCAGGTGAAAAAAAGATAACTTTGTATTTGACATCAAATCTGTGGTCTTGCCATCATAAGAGGTATCTTCCTTCACCCTTCTAGAATGTATGCGAAGACATACTCACTGGTGAGGTAAATTTCATAATAGCAATATGTTGTAAAATGTGGAAGGTGTTGAAAGCCTACTGTAAAATTTTGGGAAGCAAGGGTAGTGTGGAAGACTGATTCTGGGGCTTTTTAGTGCCAGTTTTATTTAACTTCTCATGACTGCATTTCAGTTAGTCACCTCAGGTACCTTGTTAGGATACAGTCCAAATCATCAGGAGGGGGTGAGTCCCCCTTTGGAACTGATGGTTTTTCTCCATGATTCCAAGGTTCATTCGAAGTAGCTGGCTCTGATGCAGAGCTCCACACTTCGCTGAAGTGGGGAACACAGATGCTTGGCTGCTGCAGCCCTACTGGCAGTTTCTTCTGTTACAGAAATTGTAGTGTGTATTACTACAATCTATCTAGGAGAAAATTGTATTCCACAAGTAATTACCTGAGTGATTTGCAGTTTGCATTCAAGGGCAAGTAAGGTATATATGTTAAAGAGAAAATTATGTGGCCATAACAATAAGAAAATAATGTATGTGTCGTAGAAGATTAATACAGTATTTACAATTAAAGCAGTATGCTTGCAGCACATATAATGGATATTCTTTTGTTCTGGGCTGCATTAAGTTTCTGAAATTGGTTATTACCAGTCATATTTCAGCATCTTAACCTAATCTTTGACATCTCAGTTCTGGGCAAGAAACACATGTAAATCATTCCAAGGTGGAAATCTGCACTATCAATAAATACAACTGCTAAATGTTCTGTCCTAGCAGAGTCCATTTTATGCTGAAAACTGTTTAGTTATTCTATATAATAACAACTCAGTAAAAACAATTGGAAGAGAGGCAGATTAATGAAGCCTGTGAACTACCAAACTGATGTAGGTATGTCATTATCCAAGAAAGTTAATTGAACCAAAACAGTGTACTTTCCTTTTGTTTCCTGCTCCTTTGGAAACTGAAGAAAGGAAGGCATCCTGGGATGCATTAAGAAGAGTGTGGCCAGCAGGTTGAGGGAAGTTATCCTCCCCCTCTACTCTGCGCTAGTGAGGACTCACCTGGAGTACTGTGTCCAGTTCTGGGCTCCTCAGTTCAAGAAGGACAAGGAACTACGGGAGAGGTTCCAGCGCAGGGCCACTAAGATGATGAAGGGCCCAGAGCCCCTTCCATATGAGGAAAGGCTGAGAGAGCGGGGTCTGTTTAGCTTGAAGGAGGCTGAGGGGGGATCTTACCAATGCCTATAAATATCTGAAGGGTGGGTGTCAGGAAGATGGGACCAGGCTCTTCTCAGTGGTGTCCAGGGACAGGACTAGGGGCAATGGCCATAAACTGGAAAACAGAAGGTTCAACCTGACCATGAGGAAACCCTTCTTCACTGGGAGGGTGACAGAGCACAGGAACAGGCTGCCCAGAGGGGTGGTGGAGTCTCCTTCCCTGGAGATGTTCAAAAGCTGCCTGGACTTGTTCCTGTGTGATGTACTCTAGGTGATCCTGCTCTGGCAGGGGGTTTGGCCTAGGTGATCTCTAGAGGTCCCTTCCAACCCCTTTCACTCTGTGAATCTGTGAGGCAGTAGTTTTACCTCCTTTTATTTTTAAGAAAAAAAAGACAAGAGTTCAAATATGTAGTTTGGCAGGGGAACTCAGGGGCAACCATAAAATATTCAGCTACTTACATCCCTTCTAAGTTTGCTAAGCATTCAAATACTCAGAACGGTACTTACTAGGTAGTTTCTTCTAAAGTACCTACAGAATATCTTTGTCTACTTTGCTTCCTTTTTGTCTGCTTCTATGGAAATGTGAACCTTTTTTATTAGAAATAAAACCTGAGATTGTCAAGTAATCATGTAACTCAGAATTATGCTTCCAAACGAAAAACAGGTGGCTGGAATAATGAGAAGTTATATTATTGGCAACTGTGTCTCAAATAAAATAACACAAATTGTTGTACTATAGAAGAGCATTGTCTGGATTAGTAAAAAATTTTGAGCACCATAAAATGTTTTTGTTGTAATGATAGTCAGTAGAAACAGATCAGCTAAAATAAAAATGTTGCTCAACCTTGGTTCTGCAGAAAGGCTCAGGAGTAACTTTATATAGGACAGAAATCCTGTATAACACCCTGTATTTCTTATTTTGAGGAGTATCACTATAAATTATATTGGCATGTAAATGACTGCAAGTATTGCAAGTAGAGGTAAGATTAGAGTTAAGATTTCAAATACCTTGTAAAAAATAGTAGTCTCTGCATACAAAAAATTGGAAGTTAATGACTTAATAATGTAAAACAGCCAAAATGGTGTTTTTAAAATACTGTAGGTGGGGGAAAAAAATCTGAGTGAATATCTATGACGAAAACTTACAGGAAATAAGACCTACAATTTGAAATTATTAATAGATGGGATTTATGTGTTTGAGAGATTTGAAGTTGCTATTCGGTATTTTTGTTAGGCCTAAATTAAAAATGTGTATTCTGAAGATAAAAAAGAAAGCCCTCTGATATGGCAGACCCCGTAGCATTTGCATTGTCAAAATACCACGTTAACGTTTTGGCTTCAGTTCTTCAACACACGTTTGATTTCAGTAGAGAAAATGAGGGAGGTACGTGAGTACTGATCACAGTCCCTCAAGTTCCTAATCTCAGCATGGTTGATTATTTGCAGGTCATGTTCCATTATATGTTCTTAAGCTTTCTGCTTTGCTTTCTAGTCTTTTTGATAATAATGATAGTTAAATTGTTATTGTTCTTTGCAGGAAGATAGCTGTTCAGAAAAGTAATGCATTTGCCTGAGTGCAGTGCTTAGCAGGAGTTTTCTGTTGCAAATGATATTTTTAAAATTAACTCCTTTGAAGGGAAACTGTATAGTCTGAACTGCTAATGAACTGGATTCACTGGAAGGCAAGAGTGTTATTTGTTTTATTCAGTTTCCCTTGCCTTCCTTTAATAGTGAAGTTAGATTTATTTTTTGGATGAGCCTTTTAATTACGTTCTTTGTCAATTTTATTGCAACATCTTACACTGTTCTGGGTGCAGCGGGGGAAGACTCCAGAAATAATTCTAAAGCCCTTTTTTTTTTTTTAATTTAAAAAAGCTGATTTTAATTGTGACCATTGTTCTTCATGAACTTTGCATCTCGTAAAGGATCGTGAAACTTCAGATACTGCACCTGCTAAAATAAGTTCATTTTTATAAACTCAAGAAATTGTGCAGAAATAGATGTTGCCAGCAGGTGGCACTCTCACAACATGTTTGTTTCCTGATGTCCACTTTCCCTATTCAGGATGTCAGCAATCTGTTCGAATTCAAAACTTTCTAAGCTTGTCTACGAGGAGAAAAGAATGTGTGCGCCAATCATGGAAAACCACCTCTTAAAGTTCTGTGATTTTACTTGTGTGTGTAAAGTAGCTAACACAGCCTAGTAAGCAAACGCGTGTGTGGTATATTTAGTTTTGAAGCCAAAGCATACTGTTAGAATATTTTTTTTAATAAACCAGAAAAAAGTAATAAGTATTATGATTTTCTTTTCCAAAAAATGTAACACATTTACACAAACCCGCCAGTTGTTAAAAAGAATGGCCCAGGAGCGTGTTAGGACACTCGTATTATGTTTTAATATCATACTTTTTGAGGCTTCTATTCATGCATTACTGGTGTAGAGTAGTTTATTCTTTGTTTCATGGAGGGGAAATTCAGGGCTAGGAACCACTGTAGTATGCGATCTTGAATGCACTTGGTGGGCTTTGCAGTTAAGTTGAGTCTTTAAATCCTTAAGTAACTCTGAGATCTAGCTGATTTCAGGATGATGGATGATGTTTATATTAAAATTCAGTCCAAAATTCCAAGTTCTCTAGTAGGATTAGTGCCTAATCCACTGAACTACTGCTCTTCACAATTTCCATTCTTGTAATTCCTCATGAATTACATGCGTGAAAATCCATATGTCACAGGGAATCATGCAATGAAAAGGTTAAAACTGCACCAAATAAATGTAGTCGTTGCTTTAATTGCAGCAGCAGTCGCTCTGTTCATGTATATACTTAGGTATTCTCATTTGCAAGAGTCATAACAAATAAAGCACATACTTATGTGACTGTAATTTACAACGAACATGTAACGTTAGAGTCATCATACTTGTCATTGTTACATTGTTACGGAAAATAAGTACTTCGTTTTAAAAACCTGAACTGTTTACTGTATGGAAGTGTCATCTTACGTGAATGATGAAACTGAACTAGGAGGAATATTGAATAGTATACACTAGGGGACACTCCTCAGATGGAATGATGCATCTTTCCTTTTGTGCGTTTTAGAAACCATTTGATTTGAATTGCTCTAGAGCTCCAAATAATAACTCAGGTGAAACAGGGTTTGTTGCATGACACTTTCTCAAGTGTAGTATGAAATAGAAACAGGTAGTTCTGAACTAATTGTGAGGCAGCTTAGCTGAGAAGCATGGGTAGCCAATGTGAAGGAAACAACACAAGACACACTTTGTTATATGTCAAATCTTTATTTTGTACACCTTATAATTGTAACAAATCCATGGGTTTAGGTATATGTATAATGTACACGAACGCCAGGCTCTTCTCCTTCAAAGCAGTGACATTCATTCTTGCAGATGCCTTACTGTCCTGTTATCTTTTTTACAATCATCACAAACTCATCAAAGCTGACACTTCCATCATTATTTTTGTCCAACGATTTTAATATGTTATCAAGTGAGAATGAATCCTGTTTTTATAGGAAAAGAATTAAAAAAAAAAAAGAATAATAAATAGTTTGCCATGACTATTTTCCTATGAGGAATATTGGCAAGAAGTGATGCAGTCAATAACAGTCAGTGTTACTTGAAGGTGTTACTGGTAGTGTTATATTTACCAGTTTTACTGGTTAAACTAGAAATACAGTCTTTGCTATTGCCTGCCAAAAATGTTAACAAAGATGCGATAACCATTTGAGAAGTATCAAGTATTGCTCAGACAGGTTACTTCAGTCTTGCTAGTAAGTTTGGAATTTAGGAAACAGAGCAGGTGGAATAGCTGCAGCATGTACATAATCACCAATAAAAATTAATATGTATACCACCTACGGCTTTATTAGATACTAATTTAGGCCCCACATGCACTATTTGAAAATGTGCTGCTACTTTTATTAGGCTTTGAACCAGGACCTGGAAGTCTCTTTCCTTCCCTTTTCTCCCTCTCTGCTAGGAATACTGCATTCACTGTTGAAAAATTCTTGCTAATGTATTAAATCTAGGTTAGATTACTAGCATCTTTTATTTCTGGTAAGAGTGCATGTAACATCCTGATGCAGTGAGTGTTCTGATAACATCCCTGATCAGGTTAGTTAAATAATATAAAACCAATTTTGATTTATAATTTTAATTTTTAAAACATTTTCTTTCTTCCTACTTTATGTCTATGCATGTTTTGGAATGTCCTGTCCTGCTTTTATGTTGTCGTATTATGGTGCCACGTATTTTTGCAAGCAGACTAGGTGCTTGAAAATGTCTGATATCCAGGCAGCAAACATCAGTATTGCTTTTCCTGAATGCTTCCATTTCCGCAGATCTGGGAAAATGGGTATGGTGCTAAATTGTCTACAGCCAATATTAAAAAACATTATATTTCTGAATTTACCATCACATTTCCTATTAATATTTGGCAGTTAATTTCTCACATGTTTTCTAAGGGACCTCTCTCCCCTTTTCTTTTTTCTTTTTTTTTTTTTTTTAATTACCCACTTCATATTAATGAAATTACTAAATTGGGTTAATGCAGTTCTCAAAATATATTTCTACTGAGGTGCAGCTTCTTTCAGACCATTAGCAAGAATTGCTTTTGTCAGCTATGGTAAACACAGTATTTAAGAATTTGTCTAGCAAAAGAATCTAAATTGAGTCCTAATGCATTTCAGCAAACGTCTGGCAGAGAATATATATGAAATCAGAACTTTTTTTTTTTTTTCTCCCAGCTGCGGGAAATGTGTATTTCTGTCTAGCTTGGTGGCATCTCTTTTCTTTATTTGGCGTCTCTCTGGAATGGCAAATCTTCTTTTATTTTGTGATGGTGGGAACTTAATCTGGACAGAAATTGGCTCATGTCTCTTACTTTTAAATTTGTCCTACTGATTTACTTGGTTAATAGATTTTCTTCTATATGTTTTCTAGATTCACAATTTATAATTTAGACTGAAACAAAAAAAAAATTATAAGACTCAGATATAATATTCTTGGTGAAATTTGGCTTACATAAAAAAACCTGAACAAAAGAGCCTCTTAAATTTTTGCATTGTAGTTCATAGTTCTTTGTTATAAATTCAGCTCTCTGTTTGGAGCTACTGTTCATTAATGTGAATGAAGTTTTATAAGCTGACCCTTATTTAAGTATTATTTATGGAATCAGTGAAACTATTTGGTCACTACAATCTGCCTTGCCACATTATTGCCTGTATTTCCTTTTTTCTATCCATTTCATAGGAAGCATAGTGAGTCTAATAAGGGTGAAGCTTACCTTCAGGTACTGTGCAAATTGATTCTGAAGTAGATTTTTCAGCCCACCAATGGACAGGACAGTGGTGCCACCCTCCATTAAAGCATACTGGGTAAAAGCCTTCAGAAGTTCATCTGCCATGTTTCTCAGATGTTGTCTTGAAGAATAACTGCAGACAAAGCAGACAGTAACAATCCTGCGCATGAGAATTCTGAAATACATCTGACACCCCGTTCATTGTTTTACTAACCATGTGCAATGATTAGTACTTAACCAAGATGAAGAACGGGGTGTGATTTTTGTTGTTGTTGGGGTTTTTTTTCCCCCTGTAGAATTGGATTGACTCTTCCAAAAAGAAAAAATAATCTAAGTTAAGTTCAAAGGTTTGAAACACCCAATGTGATTAGGTTATGCTTACCTCACTGAAAATCCAGAGCTTTCAAATGTACCCAGCAGAAGTGAGAATCTCAGATTGGGGCAACCTTTATAGTTGCTTGCATGCTCCACCCTAATTATGAAATGAGCATTTGTCATTGAGTCAGCGCACTACTTTTACTGTGTTTTCAGTAGTCAAAGAAATAGGATACTTTAGCAGTAGAAATGAGATTTTTTTTTTTTTTTCCTCTGAAATGGATCAGGATCGGCATCTGCTACTGCACTTGATGTAGGTTTATTTGGTCTTTATAGGCCATTCTGGGGAGGTTTCCTCTCTTAAATTTGTGTATTTTACGTTTCAAGATGTATCACACCAAAAGAAGCCTGAAAAAGGCTCCTACGTGGATAAGTATAGCATTTGTTATTATGATGGGCTTTGGAAAATGGTAAATCAAAATTTATTTTGAAAAGATCCAGATAAATAAAATATGTAGCTTCATGCTCTTTGTATGGATTGATAATGACCAATGCCAAAGCCAGTTCTCTAAACTTTGTGCTATTTCTTAGCACAGGAGAGTGATGAATTTCTTCTGGGATAAAATTTTGGTTGCTGCCTTTAAGAATCAAAATACTCCATGATGTGAATGGAAAAGAGCAAAGCGTTCTAAATGGAAAGGTGACTCTAAGGTCCTGGAAAACAGTTCCTTCTTGGGAACACCTTCATAACTGAGTATCATGTTCTGCAGGTTCTGAAATCGTGTTCCGCTGATGGTCTGTGGGGCGCTTTTGAGTGATATTTAGATGGTGGTTGATTCTTCATAACCCCCATATTGCTGGTTTTGCAACTGCTAAGTTGCTGGCTCTGTCTGTGGTTTCTACACGTGGTTTCTAATCTGCCTGATGTCAGCTGTTGTAATTTTTTTAGTGCTTAGCTCCAGGCTCGCTTCATAGGTCTTTCACCCTGTGCATTGCTTATTGAGAATCAGTCATCATTTCATCACTTATAACTCTGAGCCAAGAGCTTTGTGCATTTGTAGGAGATAGATGGATTGAAAGGGGTGTTTTTGGAACTGCAGGCGTATGGGTGTAGGGTTCCATGACAGGTAAGTAGGAGGTTTCCTGAGAAGACTAGGCAAGCTTTGCTAGATGAGTCATTTAGATACACACCTTGCATTAGCAGGCTGCTTGCATGTGCTTATAGTCACTTCCCAAAGTGTCAGAAGAGTAGTAGCAGGGTCTTCCAGAGATCATGTAATTCATTCTTCCTTTTGTCCTAGAGTGAGATCACCGGTTTTCATGTGGACATCTGTTTAACATATTCTTAAGCACCTTAAATAATGGGAACTCTAGGACCTCCTTATCTGGTCCATTCCTTGTGGTTCCTTAGCTTCTACAATATTCTGTATGTGCACATGCCTTGCTGCATTTCAGCCCTTTCCTTCTCCTGTCTCCACAGATAAGGAGAACAGACCTATCGTCTTCCTTCTTAAAATGGACTTTAACGTGTCGGAGAAATCCCCTGTCTTCCTTTTTTGGTTCTGAAATCTTGGCTAGTTTAGTCTTCCTTTGGGAGTCTGGTTTCTTGGATCTACTCATATTTTTTTGACTTTCTCCAGTTGGTTCCCATCCTGCTTGAGATGCCATGTCCAGAACTGTGCAGCTTGTTCACCACTCAGGGCACTCATGGCGTTGCAGATTTAAATAGGGCCTGAAGCACTTGGTTGATGAGAAGAACATGTATGTTGTTTTACAGGGAGGTGGCAGGCTACAGGTCTTTAATATTGAAAAGATTTGTCAAGTTTCTTGACACTTCTATTTCAGGCTTGTTGTGGGGAAGACAAATACACTGATTTCAAATTAAGCTTGACATTAGCTTGAGGGTCAGAGAACTGGGGTCGGGCATCTCCCAGTCTTTGTCCAGTCTGTCTGAAGGATGAAACTGGAAACACACTTTCTCCTGGTTGCTTTTTGGCTCAACAGAAAGTCAGGAGCTGCTGCTGTCATCACTAGCAGAACCTCTACTGCCGCCATAGTAGATGTGGTAGCAGTGCCAAGCAAGTCTCTGGGTCCTGGTGAAGAATGCATTGTATGGGCTAGGGCAAGCCCCATATACCTAACTGGGGCAGGAGCTGTGTGGTTGTTCATGACAAGACAATCATAAGCCCTTTTCCTTTCTTCTTCTTTCCACAAACAAAATGGAAAATAAACATCTGTTTCTCTCTCCTTCCATCCTGTTTTTCACCTTTGCTAGATGGTGAAATTTCTGTAGTAGTGCGTGAACAGGACATCTGCTAAGGCTTCTGCCTCCCCATCTGCCAGTTCTCCTTGCCTACAGCCCTTGCCAGTGATAGCCTTGCCATGCTCAGGGCTTTATGCCCTTTGGAAGCCATGTCAGGAAGCTGGTGTGCCTGGTGTGTATTGTTGACATTACAGTATTTGCAAAACTTTAAGTATTCAAATGACTTGTCTTCACATGTACCAAAGCCACCTCCCTGTCTTGAAGATGTAGTAGTAAGATGCTTAGTAGTATGGAAGAAGAATTGCATTTTGAGGGATCACAACTCAAGGAATTCAGCACATTAGCCTTGTTAATTTGTTAAGGGTTCATTAAGGAATACCACCTAATTGCTAAATCGCATAACCAGTTTTACTGAAATATCTTCACAGAGACCAATGCCTGGAAGTTTAAGTGACCTGCTCAAGAGTTGTGCAAGGGTTGCCTGCCAGATCTGGGGAAGCATCTAGTCTCCCCAGGTCAGCTTTATTCACCAGGCGTTGTAATCTACAGGAGTCTGTCTGAATGACAGATGGGCAGAGTTGGGATTTGTTGTTTGATCTCTCGACTCTATGTCCTCTTCTCTCTCAATTAGTTCCCAGTGCCCTCCTCCAATAATTTGTGTGGCATCTCTGAACTCTGTATTGGAATCAGCAACAGAACTCAGTTTGACAGGCCTCAGGACACTGTCTTTGCTGAGAGATTGCTTTGTGGGACATAAGTGCTCTTCTGAAATAGGTGCAGTTTATCCAGCACAAGCCAGCAATGGTGGACTGATATCCAGGGGTAAGGAA